AGTCATTGTTTGGAAAATATAAAATCATCTGACGAAAAAGAAAATGTAACTGCAAGATGCCACCCCTTGTTTTTTTAATTATAGTTTTGATTTTGGATTTTAAAAATGTTTGGAAATCAGCCAGTTGTATTCGTCCAGAATTTTCTACTATATTTCAAATATTTAAGAATACCAAAATTGCATAGGGTCAATGATAAAATAATAAAAGTATAAGCAGTATTTACACTACCAATTTGTCTTTGCAATGGCATATTACAATATTCAAATTTAAATACTGTTCAGCTAATTTTTTTGTGTGCTCTTCTTTATCCTAATATGTAATTTTATAGCTTTTTTTTTTATACATACATACATACATTTAAACCTATATTCTACTTTCTTGTTTACATTACATGATCTTTATATAAATAACCCATTTTCTTTTCTTACTATTCAGTATTTTACAGAAAAAAAGGGTCAAGATATATAGAAAAGTTCATTTTATGTGGTATTATATAATATTATTATCTTCATAGTCTGTAATTCTAGAGTCTATGTATATATAAAAAGATTTACATTAAATGCCCAAGTTGTATTTTTTTCTAGTAATTTTAGAAAAGTTTAAAGATATAGAAGTTAATTTTTTCAGGGGGGGGGGGGGTCGTATATTTTCTTCATAGTCTACTGTAATTATGGAAACTGTATATTGTTTAATAAAAACATTTCACTGCATGGTCCTTTATCATATTTTCCTCTTTAAAAAACCCTACTAATGTTATAGCCCTACACTGTTAAAATTATATGTATATTTACAGTTATAAGTATAGTAAAAATACAGTACATGATTTGTCAAATCACATGGTTTGTTAACTTACATTTAAAACAATGTCGATGCATATGAATACAAGGCTTATGTAAGATTACATCAAATTTAATGTAATAATACAACCATATGTCAGTTTACATCACGTGGGCTGTATATTAACAGTAATGCCGCTGGAAATATTATTTTTACAGAAAATTGTAAATTTACCTTCAAAAAGTGGTCACATAGGTTATCCCCCGTTTGATCACATATCGAATATTATACAAAATATTTACTGTTCTGTCAGTCAGTTTAGTCCATTTTAGAGAAATAGGTTATTCAAAATCTGAATGCATGTGCCATACATTGAGTTGGGTGCGGCATTTTGCTTGGACTGTTCATGCCACCTACTCTTTCCATTATAAGGAGCAGAACAGTAGCACATTAAACCCCATTTCACTTATTTTCTTTACATTATCGAATGTTGTTTTACATGCTCGGCTGGAAGTTCCGCAAAACTTTCTGTGTTCGCCAGGATCTAACCTAGGACTAATTAGCCAAGCGGAGACAAACACATTCCTTTGAATAATGTTATCTTGGCAAATTACATAATATGTAATTCTACATCATTTATGAGATATTATTACATAAACTCTATCAAAATACCCATTATTTTTTTGTTTTAAATGTTATTGTACAAATTTATGTAAATTAACATCATGGTAATTTTACATATACTCCATTTACAGATATGTAATTTTACCTTGGATGTATAATCGCTAGAGGTAAATTTACATTACAGACTGTGAAATAACATGCAATGTTAAAATACAGTTATAACGATGGCAATATTTCTGCCAGTTAAAACGAGGTAAAAATACATAAAAATTTTAACAGTGTATATCATATTATTTAAAAACACTACTTACATTATCTCCTTTACAATTGACAATTCTGTGTTTTCAGTGTTAATTTCAAAGAAAATAGCACAAATTCATCTTTTTTTAAAAATATACATAACTATATTTTACAAGCCTGTATCCCATATTCTTCTTTACAATTTAAAATTCTGTATTTCAATGTTAATTAAATACAAAACAGCCCAAATTTATTCTTTAGGAATATATAGGCCTTACACCATTTTCTTCTTTTACTTTTCTTTTACTTTCACAGTTAATTTTAGAGGAAAAAAAACTCTTGATGTATTGTCCAGTTAGTTTTTTTTCTTTCGTCTTGTGGTCAGTATAATCTGTAATTTTAGAGTTTCTATTTATTTATTTTTTAAAAAATGCTATTCACATATAGGCCTATATTTGCGTCCGATTTCTAGTAATTTTTAGAAAAGTTCAAAGATATATAGGCTTATATATATAAGTTATTTGTATTGTGGGGTCTTTATATTAATAAACACCTGTCATTGCATAGGCCTATAACCATTTTTATTTTAAAAAAATTACTTATATTATAGGCCTATATCATATTTTTTTTTTTTTTTTAAAAAATACTTATAGTATTGGCCTATATCCTATTTTTTAAAACAAATAACTACTTATATTATAGGCCTATATCACATTTTCTTCTTTACTATTTACAATGCTGTTTTTCAATGGTAATTTCAGGGAGAATAAAAGCACAAATTGATTTGTAATAAAATATAGGATTACATTATATAACTATATTTTATGAGCCTATATCCCATAAAAATTGTCAAAATTTATTTTTTCACAAATATATAGGCCTACATTATATACCATTTTCGTCTTTACTTTTTTGTAATTTCACAGTCAATTTTAGAGGGGGAAAAACTAAGATTTGATGTCCAGTTAGTTATTTCTTTGGTATTTTGGACAGAATAATCTGTAATTAAAAAGTCTTTATTTAAAAAAATATAGGCTATTCACATAATAAAAGAATTATAGGTCTATATGATATGTGTCTAGCTTCTTTTATTACTTCTTTTTCACTGATGTTTAAACAAACAAAAGGGAAATAAATTAAAATGAACGAAATATAATCAACATATACATGTACATGCATGTAACAAGAAAGATTATTTTTCTTTTTGTTTTTTTTTATATTTTTGCTGCTATTTTGTATTCTCTTATATTTTTTGAAAAGTTTAAAGACACATTAGGTAATTGTATGATAAAAAAAAAACCTTCCATAGCTTAGGCCTATATCCTATTTTCTTCTTAAAAGACCCTTACTCATTGCATAGTCCTGCTTATATCCCATTTTCTTCTCATACTTTACAATTATGTATATTCACTCTTTATTCACTGTCCAAATTTATTCTTTAAAAATACATACAAGACTATATTATTATAGGCTAAGCCTTAACTCATTGTCTTCTTTACTATTCTGTAATTTTACAGTTAATTCTAGAGGAAAAAAGACCAGGATGTAGTGATTATTTTTTTAAAAAGGCTATTATATAGGCCTAAATATGTGTCCAATTTCTTTTTTCTTTAAATCAAAGTCAATAGCAAATAAATAAATATATATATAAAAAAAAAGAAAAGAAAACTTGAAGAACTATATTAAAATACATAAATAGGACTGTTGTAGTTAGCCTCATGGTAGGCCTATAAATAGCTGCATGTTTGGCCTTAATGCTTAATCTATAAAGTCGATCTGTTTTTATTTGCTTTTCTTTTCACCCATGAATTCATTTCTCCTTCCTTCCTCTATGATGTGAAAAGTTTCATTAAAATAATAGGACTGATTTACGTCTATTTACCATCCATGCGATCATATTTATGATTATGATTATGAATGAAAAGAAAGACCAAGGCATGCCCACGTAAACGGTGATTTTCACGTTTTAGTTTATTTTATTTTCATAAACTGTCGCACATTTCATTCAGGATAACTTGTAATTAATTTTGAAAAATTATGATTATTTTAAGAACAACTAACGGTATTAATTATCGAATTTTACCTTGAGGTAAATACAACTACGTCAGCGGTTGAAACCAATGTTTTGAGAGTGGTAACGTGGCGGAATTGGTACTTCCGGTGACTTCACACATCTCAGCCAATGAGCTATCCAGTTATTATATAGATCAGTGGTTACTCCCCGGTCCGAGCTACCCCTATAGCCCAAATTTCAGACTCGGGGCAGACCTAGTGTAGCCGCCAACCCCGAAAAGACAGACAGACAGACAGACGACAGTCACAAATATATATATAGATGAAAGACAGTCGGGCGGAACGAACTTAACTGAAATAAAGTGAAATGGGGTTTAACCTTGTGATTTTTGTGTAGTTTGGCTAGTGCTCAAATCATAGGAGTAGTTGTCTAATCCTATGCTAGATAGCAAATCATAGGGGTAGTTGTCTAATCCTATGCTAGATAGCAAATCATAGGGGTAGTTGTCTAATCCTATGCTAGGTAGCAAATCATAGGGGTAGTTGTCTAATCCTATGCTAGATAGCAAATCATAGGGGTAGTTGTCTAATCCTATGCTGGATAGCAAATCATAGGGGTAGTTGTCTAATCCTATGCTAGATAGCAAATCATAGGGGTAGTTGTCTAATCCTATGCTAGATAGCAAATCATAGGGGTAGTTGTCTAATCCTATGCTGGATAGCAAATCATAGGTGGACGCAATTTTGCTCCGTATTTAGGGCTAGCAAAAGTATATTTCCTAAACTCACCAGATTGTTGTAATGAGATTATCTTGCCGCACTCATGAATTTGAAGGGTAGAAAATGAACGAAACTATTAGAGCTAGCTCAAAAATTAAATAAAAGAGTACAATCAAAATTTACCAATATATGTTTGTATAATATCTCGCGAAAAGCTATTATTTGCTGCGACCTACGAATAGACGTGTGAGGAATTAAACTTTACTCACTCGAAATGTTGTCATTTGAGCAGGGCCCTCACATAGGGGGGCGGGTGGGTGGGAAAGAGAGAGAGAGAAATGGGATTTAACGTCCATTCGACACAAACTAGGTCATTTCGGGACTAATGTATGGTTTTAATTTTATTTCAATAATTGGTAATCCTCGGTGTCGACACTACATGGGGGCGGCAAATTATCTAAGTGCGTACCAGAAATATTCAAAGGCTGACATAGCAAGTCACCAGCATTCACTTCCCCTAAACCTGTGTAAACCAGTTCATATTTTAGCAAATAGAGAGGGTAGAATTATAATTTTTCCAAGATATATTGTAGGGTTATTGGATCAAATGGAGGGTTGAAGGGCAAATAAACATAAAAATATAACAGTTATTTAGTTTAAAAGTTAAAAATATAAAGAATTATATTTTAAAATTCTTTAATCCTAAAAAGTCAACCGGGCGCGGGCACTGAACAAAGCAGTCCCAGTATGCAGGGGTGGGGTGGGGTGGGGGCGTCACATACGCTTGCGAGGGCCCTTATTATGAGATGCAACAGGCAGAGACAAGTAGGTGCAAGTGCTAAAACAACCCATTACAGATTGATCAGTAACTTGAACATCCGAGTCAGTCCAAAGTGTCCTGTGTGTAACTCTATCTTGTCTGTGGTTTTATAAATTTTACCCAATACAAGTTGGCCATTGTAAGCTGTAGTTCTTCTCTGTTGGTTGGTATTACGCCACTTGTCAATATTTCAATTATACCTAAGAGATAAGAAATGAAAGACAGCCGAGCAGACTGAACTGAACTGAACTGAAATATAATCGGGGTTAACCATTCACATTATAATAAAGACGGGGCTTAACGACCTAGAAAATATGCTTACTCATTTAAGCTTGGTAACTACAGATATAGGATTACCCTGGATGAACTTTCTCGGCCAATCTCGGTTCGATCCCTGCATTGGCCGAGGAAGTTCATCCAGATTTTCCGGCGTGGTTCTCCCTTGTACACATTGGCATGCACGTAAAATATCCCTTTGCAGTTGGCATTCGATATAAGAGTCGGCCATAGTGCCGCTGCCCGGGCAAAATTTCCCTCATAGCACACTGTATGGCGTATGCCCGTCTTCATTAGCCCAGGTTAGGAGCAGAACCGTAGGACGTTAAACCCCATTTTATTTCATTTTCATTTACTTTTCACGTTTTTATAAATACAGGATGTTATTCTTAATTTACTTTATGACTCAGTTGTACAAAAATTTGCACATTTACATTGTGATGGAAAAAGGTAGAGCCAAGATAAGATATAGAAGGAAATTTATAAATAATACTGACACCCTTTATGTTTATATTTATAAATGATCAGCCGAACGAAGTGATGTGAAAATAATTTTTAAAGTACATGTAGTAATTTCATGTTAGTCATCAAAGCAGTGTCGGATTTACCTATAGGCTTGGCAGACTGAAACCCAGGACCTTAAGATCTAGGGACATCTGGCCTAGATGTATAAATGACACTGTCATAAGCTTTTCTTACACACACAATTGTCTTGAAAATCTGTCATTGCTCAATTTTGTCGAAAACTCACTTTAATTTGTTTCTATTCGTGAGGGAGATGCATGTCCCAGTTTGCAAAACTGGGCAGGAAATTGACCAAAGGCGCGCAGGGTGGTAGAACGAAGTGTGTGCGTGTGGTTGAGAGGGGGGGGGGGTTCTTCTTGATTCTCCCAAAACTCACGATGGATTGCAGCTAAGCTCAGTACCTATTGACTTCTCTACAATGTTTATGGTCTCCCAATCTAGCTGTCTCTATTATCATGTTTTCTTTGTACATAGTTCATTGTTACCCAACCCTTATGGCTCCCACCCCCTTTGATGGTTTCTAAATGTCCATCTCTGATTGTATATTAATGTTTGTATTTGCTCCATATTTTATCTTCATTGTACTATGGTTGTCATTCTTTGCTTGATAAAGACGGGAGAACCCTCGTCGAAACGTCGCTGAAATAAATCCTTCAAGTAACATGTATTCCATATAATTGTGCAGTATGTTATTCTCATACAGTTACTAAATCCCGCTTAAATCATTTAGTATAATAAAGCTGTGGTTGCTTAGCGTCTAGGCAGTCTAACAAGGGTCCATAGATTTATCTCAAACAATCCAAAACACCTTTAATTACACAAAACACCCTGTATTTTGAATAAAACAATACATTTTTATTGTTTTTTTCTTTCTTTTTATATGTATAGATGACTAATATTCCTTAAACTTTCCAACTTCGATAATAGTTCTGAAAAAAAGCAAATAAATGAAAGATCAAATTAAGGAAGACACCCAACCCCTATTGTTATCGTCATAGAAATATTTCTATGGTTATTGTATCGGTTTGAGATTTTCATTATTTATTTCTGATGAAATGTAAATGTAATTATTCGATTTCTAAAAGAAATTTTATCATTATATGAAACAACCTCGTATGAAACGGTTGATAATTTTGGTCTCCAGAGCATTGACAAGATTTTTCAAAGTGATCAAAGGCCATAACTCTGGTAGTAATTATTGGATATCGTTGCAATAATGTAAACGCCAGCAGAGCCCGAGACAGGTCCCAGGGACAAGCAACTCGACAAGGTGTTTGGTGGTGTTGTTGTGGGGGGGGGGGGGGGGTATCCGTCCGCCTGGACTCGAACATTTCTGAATGACACATGGTCTCTAGTGTCTATTTGACTTGTATCTGGGGTAAGTGGAGGTAACTTGGCTTAAACACAGAAACTGAGATTTAACATATATGACATACGAAATACATGTTCTGCGCTTTAGTTTTACTGATGTAATATACTCTTAAAAAAGTAAGGGATATTGAAATGCAAATACCTATGCAGGTTGCGATATGATAAATAATCATGGACATTTGACATGCTTTGAGAGTATGTTCACAGATGAAGAACTTATCGCCCCAACAGAACCACTGAGCTGCACATGCGACACGCAATAGCGTCATACACGTGGGAAGGGTTCATTGTCAAATTTGACACTTCAAGGAAGGGTTGGTGAAAACTATCGCGTGCTGGTTTATATATCCATTTTTGCTTGCCTATCGGTTCTTACATAAGATTTACTGTTTAGCGTATCTTTGCTTTAGTGTTTTACGTGTAATTTGATCGGGAGACGCGTTCGTCCACGTCAACTGACAACACTGCAAGAATCGGCCGTGGCACTGCAAGAGTCAGATTGCCCCAACTCGTGATTGGACGGTTGATTAGGAGCATGCCACGGCGAATTGCTGAATGTCTGAGGATTAGTGGAGCAATTATAAAGGCATTATTAAGGCAAAAATCAAAAACGTCCAATTTCACTTTTGACGATGTATCTCTTTGCAAGTGAAATGGGGCCGTCAGATAAGCCGCCCGTATGAACTGTTTATGTTCATGTGTAGGCAACTGGTTCACCTGATTAGATTTTATTACATACTTCGAGAAGGTATTTGTTGAGTAATAAAACCTTCTAGTAGTTTATCGAGGGATGGCCGTCCTTACCGCACGGTACAAATATTATCACCACTAGAAGCAACAAATTCCAGAACAAGCCAGAACTCATACCAAAATGGCCGCTTTATACAAATGAGTATTTAGGGGAATACTAACTCCGGAAACACCCGAACCTCGATAAACTACTAGAAGGTTTTATTTGTACCGTGCGGTAAGGACGGCCAGCCCTCGATAAACTACTAGAAGGTTTTATTACTCAACAAATACCTTCTCGAAGTATGTAATAAAATCTAATCGGGTGACTGGTTACCTCTAATAACAACAGCAGTGCATTTCCGCAGTTTTGTATTGTTTCTGAATACCCCCTATTTTTTTTTTTTGAGGAGTATACTAATCAGATGTGCACGATCTTGACAGGGCATTTTAATCAAGCAAATAAATTGAAAAACCAAAACCCTGACCATCAGACGCCTAAAGATCAAAAAGAAAATGTTTTCATCACATAAACTATCGGTTGTTTTTTTCAATAACCAAAACCATGTTGCTGGATTCAAACTGACGGGGCGGGGGTGGATACACTGGCGACGTCGAGAGTCTCAAGTGGAACGAGGGCGGGTCGGGCCCCACTGCACGAAGGCCCGGGCGGGTGGTTTATAGTTGTTAATTCACCAGTTTTACGAAAAGTGGACTGACAGAATCCGATTCTAATCCAACCCATGCCACTTGGTACCCACATTCAGAAAAGTCACTTGTTTTCTTATACTTTACAATCTTCAACAATGCATTTTTTTTGTTTTAATTTATACCATCAAATCTTTCAAAAAAACATTCCTCGGCATCGGGCCCCTCTAGGCTCCGGGCCCTGGACAAGTGTCCCAGTAAGCCCCCCCCCCACCACCTCACGGGCCCCGAACGCCAGTCACATTTAATTATAAACTAAAAGCCTATTATATATAATGGAAGTTTTGAGAGCAAATCTACCTAGATTAATATCAAGGTGACCCATTTAACACCCCTGTAAAAAACAAACAAAAGTTGTGTTGATCTCCTAAACTTTGCACCACCATTTTCCTTTTCTTTTTTTTTTTGAATATTAAATATGTAAGTGGAATATAATAACAACTTGTATTATAAATAAACGGGATCCCCCTTTCTTCATATTACATTGTGATATTTTACCATTGATAACAATCTTTTGTTATAATGCATATAAATTCAAGGTGACATTGCTATACATTTCATGCAGGGATTGGCTGACTGAGCCGAACCTTCAGGATGTTTTCACACCGGAGAAAACCCAATGACTAAAATAATTGTGACATAGCGGCTGAACATTTATAATACACTAAAATCTGAAATACAACCATAAAAACATTACCAACAGAATACATCAACACAAAATTTCTATTGTATGGCTCTACGGATATATCACTTGAACAAAATAAATTAACATTTTCTGAGGTGGAAAACTTTTTAGAAATGAGTAATAGATACTGAAATTGTCATTTATCATTACCATCACTAGATTATGTTAACATATTTGTACACTTTCAGACCTTAAACCAAAATTAGTCATTATGTATTTGAAATAACCTTTTTATTTGAAAAAATATTATTGTATACTTTCAGAATTTTATTAATTAATAACACAATATGAATAGTTTCGACTATATACATGTATTTAAGTAAACTAATTGTAATTATATCGTTTTGTTGAAGGGAGAGGGGTGATATAGGCCTAGCCTGTTCCCCAATCCTATTCTTATTGAATAAAATATAGTTTATATTAAAAAAAAAAAAAAAAAAACCCCACCCAAACTAAAATCTGATTACGAGTAACAACCCCATTTGGCTTCTATTTCTGCCAAAAATTGCCATAATCATTGGAAATCGTTCAAAATTGATAGGCTTCACAGAAGGACCAAGGGCCATAACGCTAGCAGTAATTATCAGAAATCTTTAAAAACCAATAGGCTCTTTCGTCTCATGATTATAGCCCCTGATTCTACGAAAAATCGCTTTTGTTTTTAGTTTGTTCTCTATCCATCTCTTGCAAAAAGTGGGCGTATCTTGCCTGGCAACCGCTGGTTTAGAGTGATCAAGGGCCATAACACTATAAATCAGTAATTATCGGAAATCGTTGAAAAATCAATAGCCACAGGCTTCTACGTCTGATGACCATAAACATTGTGTATAAATTTAAAGTCAATCGAATATTAACCAACTTATTTACTGTCAGTGGAGTTATATAAAGAAAATCATAATATTGGATAATGATAAAAACATAAAAAAAACATGAGATGTGATAAAAACATTATAAAATTATCATAAAATGGGATAAAACATCATAAAAATCATAAAATTACTCTAGAAGCTTTCATAAAACTATAAATTTTTGACAAAAATCTGTGTACGGTCCCTGGGAGCAGTAATTTTGATTTCCACAGCTATTCATTTAAAAAAAATGGAAATAATTCTGTTTATATTTATGCAAGATACTGACCCGTTTATATGCATGTAGTTTTAATGACCCGGAATACTGTTTCTCTTAAATAATGTGGTTATATACCAAAATCAGGGGGAACTGTAAGATTTCATTTTTGTCTCCGGTGATTATTATGCGAACATACATGAAATAAATAATGGATTAAGATGGGATGAAATGGCGTTTAACATTCTACTTTTCTCACCAACTGGGTTAACGACGACGGGCTAGCGCCTTAGTGTGCTACCAGGGAAATTGTGTCCGGACAGCGGCACTATGGTAATGGATTAATCATGCATATAATTAATGATGGAATAATATTTAGTCTATCGTGATTTCTAAGACATGGATACGGTTTCAAGGCTTCTATTAATTTAGCCGATCATGAAGTTATGTGTTTATGACTGAACCAATCAGTTAATTAATTAGTACTCACACCCTTCCTGTGAAGAACAGCATGTATTTCTCGGGGTTCGAATTCAGCTTTTTAATTCATTGTTTTGATTAGTTGAAACCACATTCAAAATGATTATGAGTCAATTGTTATTTTATCAAATAATGGAACAGCTCAGTTGAAATTTTTATTAAATAAAAACTAAACATGTGTGAACTATATATTGTTTTGCAATTACTAATATTTTGGCAGTTTTGGATCAAAGTGATTTTTTGCCGTTTTGGTGTGTGTCCCTTTACATAATTTTTATGGAACCCGATTTTAGAAAAAGAAAATAATAATGTGACGGTACACATTACTTGTGTTAATTGTATGATAAAAACCCCAACAAACTTTTATAAATCTCCACAAGATATGTTGTGTTAATGCACAGCAACACAAGCTTGAGCAGAATAGTTTTAACACAAGTCCTAGTACTTGCGACAAGTCCTAATTAATCTAAATGCGTATTTTTTAACAACAAATTATATAATATTATGTTAATGAAGACCGGGCGCTTATGCATGTTTAAGAGTTTTATTGAGAATCGATCGTTCGTTCGCGGAGTTTTATGTCCAAGTAATATCGTAGACAAGTTATTGTGAATCAAATTGCCAAGTATAAGTTCAATAATAATAAAAGAAAAACAGAATGAAACATTTCAGACAAAGACCGAATAGTAATAAAAATAAAAAAAGTCAAACATATACATGTTATACAGATTTGAAATGAGCGAAACATACTACAGATTTTGATAATACAATTAAATATAAATAAATTATAAATATATACATTACTTACATAAATCATTCAATATCTGGACATGAATATGATTATCTACAGCTACAATCAAGGCCAGGGCAGATAATTTGAAATTGTTGAAA